GATTGATTGATTGATTGATTGATTGTTTGATTGATTGTGTGTGTGTGTGTGTGTGTGTGTGTGTGTGTGTGTGTGTGTGTGTGCCAGTGGCTTGGCTTGCCCTTTGGCACGAAGGGACGCACGAGTTGTCTGGCACACGCGCAGCCAGTCGCTGACGCGTGGCCAACTTACAAACGCACCAAGAGAGCTAACGTCCACTCTCTCGATGCTAGCTGTACAATTCGACCGAGGAAAGGAGATTATATATGCTGGAATTTTTAGCAGAATTGCGGGCTACAGTCACCACGTGTCCCTTGTGTTAGATGCACAGCACACATGCAGACGGGCTTGCCACCTGTCTTCTGTCACAGAACGGCGATCGCTCTGTCTCCTCCACTTCCTCATCCCTCGTCTCTCGCGGCATTGTGAACCGGAGACCAGGATCAGCTCTCTTCACCCCCTCTCTCTTTAGCCGCCATTGCCACCACGATGCACCGACTATCACCTGCCGCGCACTCTGCGTGCACACAGCTCTCTTCTTTCCCCTTACTCCTAATCACGAGACACAAAATGACGTCAGTGCCCGCTCGAGCGTAGATGGGCACGAAGACGCCCTTCGCGCCCCCCTTCCAACTCAAACACCGTTTGGCCGGTCCACTTCCCCTTCCTCTTTCCGTGGCACCTGCCCTCCTCCCCCGCTCCGCTCCGCCCCGCCCACCCCCCCGCCCCCCTACGATCGCAACAAGCGGCCTTAGCGCCTGAAGTGAACGGAACTTGCCATGCGCGCATGGGCAATCATTCACTCATTGTTCCCGCCAACTCCTTGCTGCTTGATTGATAGCCTTCACAGCTACTCAACAATCCTGTCAAATGATGGCGACACATGACTGAACATCAATCAAATAACCAGCCAGGTTCAAGCGCGCAGTAATGTGAAGATTCTTTCAAGCAACCCCCGGATCCAGTTTGAAAGCGAGGGAATGGTGACATTGACGGCCCATCGTGCTCATCCTTGTGAGCACACGCGACGAACGGCGAGGATGCACGAACGAGTCTCCTCAGCACCTGCCATTAAACTCGACCCCGCGACCGAGCAAGACTAGAAAACCACCAACCAGCGACCGAGCACGACTAGAACCACGAGCAGCAGCGAGCGAAGCGATGTGCAACCTGCCCGCGTATCTGTCCACGCACGCCTCTGACAGTCGGTCAGCTAGGAAGCCAGGAGAGAACTACCGGGCCCACTTCGGCGTGCAAATAGAAATATACGAGCGAGCGAGCGAGCGAGCGCGCGAGCGAACGAACGAACTCTCGCCGAGCAGTTTGCACGCCCATCCTGGCCCGCCGGTCCGCACCGCACGGCGGGTGTAGTGTAGATCGTCGCACGCTGGATTTGGAAAACAGCGCCCCGCCAATCGCTCGTTTCCTTCGCGCCCTCCGTCGCACAACCAAGGTGAAATGTGCGCTTTTGCCGCCAGCCCGCCAGTCGGCCCGCCAATTCGTCGTTTCCGCCGCCGCCGCACAGCCCGCCGGGGTGAATGGGCCTCGCTGCACTACTCTCGACATGCGCAAAAGACAAAAACCATGCCCGTGCATCTTTCCATATTCTAGCGGAAGATTCACTCTCGTTTTGCACTTTTCGAGCGTAGTGCAACGAGGCCCAATGGCGCTTTTGCAAAAAAGTGAAGAAAAAGAAAAACAAAAGCTCTTCTGTTGCCCTGGCTCCCCAGCCGTCCCGCCGTGGATGCCTGGGAACACGGCCTCGACATGCGCCGCCGCGTAAAAGCGGGCATTGCTGTCGATACCGGTACGGTCGGTACGGCGCTACAGGGTGGCATTTCACATAGCATTTCACTAGCATTTCATCATATAAGCACTTCGCGGAGCATGGCGCACATTGTCGAGTAGCATCATTACTAGCATGGCACATTGCTACGGTAGAGCTACCGTAGGCATGTCCGTGCTAAACAAGGACGAATCGAGAGACCGGTTTTGGACTACCCTTTATGCCCCACCCAGGATTAGGGCATCCCCACTGCGGCATGGTCGTCCCCAGAATCGAGGCCTTGTCAGTAAGAAGATGGACGTCTTTTTTTTTTTCGTTTTTTCTTTTTTTTCCCGATGTTGAAGGCTCCATCTACTGGTGGGGAGCTACACCTGCTGGAAATCGGGTCCAGACTACCTGTGCAATAACATGTGTCAGCTGGAAATCGGGTCCAGCGTCCCTTATACAAGGATGTCAAAAATGTGTGAGGGCTAGTTTATATGTGTTGTGTGAACTGAAGACCCTTGCCACTGTATCCGCCGTGTCCCCCTATGGAGAAGGAGGCATTGATTACTTCCCAGAACAGGGAAGGACTGACCTCCTGCCCCTCTAAACACAAATCCGACACAGCATATTTCCCACACACCCCCGAGAAAGCAAAACACGATTCAATCCATGCAACCCTTTTTTTTTTTTTTTTTTTTTTTTTTTTTTGAAAGCCCAGGTTGTTGTAGAGGCTGGTTTACAGACATACGAGAGTCACCTTTGGCACTTGGCCATGTGGTAGAGCCCCCCCTAATCCTAGAGGACTCCCTCCCAGCCTACCTCTTTCGTAATTTCTCCCGGTGCACTCCTACTCCCACTATCCTACCTCAGTGTCTACCACTCAGGATCGTCACCCTCCAGCCTTGGGGGTGACCTGACTGAACCGTGGTTGTAGGTACCAGGGCTAACCTGAGCCCCACACACACCCCACTCAGCCCTGATCGAAGCATATTTGTGCGAGCCTTGCCACCCAGGTACTTCAAGTGCTAGGTACAGACGTTTCACTACAAGTACCATAGGTGGACCTATTTTGCGTTCCTATCGTTGTGCACACAGCCGTTGTTACTGTTGTTTGTTGTTAGGTTGTTCGCTGTGCACACTGTTGTCATTAATACATGTTTTTTGTTGATAGTGAACCGAACATAGGAGGCAGGCAACCCAACCAATCCTGTGGAGAGCCCCACCGACACAAGAGCCCTACCAGCACCTGCCATACAGTGTACTAAGTCTCACTCTCATCAACTGTTCCTTATTCCATGGGCGGTCTGTAGGGTCCTAGTTCAGACAGACATCGAACGTGGATTGTACTAAGTCATACTCTCATCAACCGTTCCTGTTCCACGGGCGAGCTGTCCTAAGGGGAGCCCTCATCCTAACCCCTCCCATGCCTAGTGCCAGGCCCCCCCAAATATTCAACTAGCAACGGGTCCCCCTACTCTAATCTTGCCCTAAGAAACCTACCAACACCGACCACAGTCTGTACTAAGTCTCACTCTCATCAACCGTTCCT